TTGAACAGATAGGTCAGGACTCAAAAAAAACCTGAATAGGTATAGAAACCACAATTAAATGTTTAGGGGACAGGACTTTGCCAGACGAATTAATTTGTTCAGGCCCCAACACCAGATATTTAGTAGGAACAGAGATCTGGCCTACCCAAACAGCAGGTGACATGGCAAAGCATTTTCTGGACAGTTCCACGTTAGACTAGAGACAGGAGGAATCACATTATTATGTTTTGTAAAACAAAAAACAACTCCCTGCACATAGAAAACTAATTGTCGCAAAGGTGGTAAACCCTGGCTTGGCTTCCAACTGTAGACAAGAGCTTGCATGATTCAGTGCTCCACCACGAAAAAGTAAATTCTTGGAACAAGGAAAACTAACATGTTAAGAAGGCTGTATTAGAAACTTTCTTCCCAATAGACTCATTTTCCATGTGAAGGGAAGGTTTGGGTCATTCAGCCATATGCAGTCTCATCTGCAACCTAAAAATGTACAGCAAGGTCCAGATATGAGAGAAATGGTTTGCAGCCCAGTCGTCTCCCTGATAGATTGTGTAATGACATGGGGGGGGGGAGTTTCCAACATACTCCCTGCCCACACACAACTGTGACCTGCGGTCTGAAGTGGTATACATAGGCTCTGAGCAGGCTAACCTTTCCCCCTGCCCTTAGCACAGATAAGGCCAAGCAGTCATCAAAATAAATGGGTCTTTTAATGGAAATAATCGACAATATTCAATGTGAGTTGAACTCCACTTGGAACAAATAACACACATCCTCTTACTTCCATGTCGCCTTTTAAAAGTATGTCAGTAACGGTCTCCATAATAACATGTGATAAGAAAATATACTGATTTCACAGGAGCTAAGGAGATAAGGACTCCCATTTCAGTTAAAATTTGCTTTGGGGATTTTTATTTTATTTTATAATAACAGTGATAGAATGTGGCCTTATGTACCTTTATCTCCAATCTTTCTATATGGCATTACACAGTTAGTTCTATTTCTATACGTGTTTTGGATCAGTATTTGGGGGGGGGGAGTCACTAACTTCCCTGTCCTTAGAAGAGAGACCGCATTGTATCCCTGCAGTGTGTTCCTATTCAATGATCTCCCGCTTATGTCGTCCAGTTGATTTTAGTTGCTTCCATGTCAAAAAAAGACCCGTTCCAAGCCTTTTTGGTATCTAAAGCAGAACATCCAAGCAGCCTCCCCCCACAACTGGCACTAGCCTAGCGCTGGACAGTTATCCTGCGCAGGCCACCCTGAAATGAATGGGAACAGCACAAGAGGACTGCAATGACCTTGCACATCTCTGTTCACTTCCGTGAGCTTTGTGTTGAAGAGCTTCCCAGTGAATCGTACTTCAGGAGTCAGCCCCATCCTCTGCTCTTGCTTAAAGGCCACCTCTGTACCAAGGTCAAGATTAAGGTAAGACCAATGTTAAGGAAACGCCAACTAATTCTAGGCCTTTGGAAGCTTTGCCCTTGCCCTTCCTTGAATTAAACCTGCTAAGCCTACAGCCTGATTCGCACCCTTGATGAATCAGCAAATAAATACTGAACAGCCAACGACTGTGTCAGCACAACATCACAAACCAGGAGTCCACACCAATGGATGGAGAGACATTGCTACAACACTGCAGTAACCAAATGCCAGCAAATCCATGAAGTTTCTCGCCTCTAGTTTGATTCGCCGTGTCCATTTTCAGATCACTCCTACTGGGGGCAAGCTACAGCCACTCACTTTTGAGAAACCATCAGTCACCAAAACAAAATATGGCAGAAAAGGAAATTAAAAACAAAAAGGTGTATTAAGAATCAGGCAGTAGTTTAGTGCACCTTCAGACCTACAAACGCATTTCAGCACGTATTAGTGCAAAGGAATGAGTCTGATTTTAAGGGAAGGAAAAACCTTGCTGGAAGAAATGCATGCCTATGCTACATGAAGTTATTCCCTGCACTCCATATTTACCCAGTCCCTTTGTTATAAATGAGTAAGCGACAATCATATTCCCCAAGCCACCCCACAAGCCCTAAAGATCACCTATCCCTGCCAAAAGCAAAAGGGGGAAGCCATAAACCAAACCGCTGCATGGCATGCATACTTTCTCTTAAACATGCAGAATAAGGATCAGACCAGCAGATAAACTAAGGTGAGGATAACCCAGCCAGTCAACACAGAAACTCACCAAGCTGCCCAACTGAGGCCTCATCCTCTCTCAGGTAGCACTTCCTGATCAAAGACCCCATACGGTACTGAGCTGATTATTGCTGAGATAACTACACACAATGTTCAAAGTCAGTTTAACAGGCGAATGAATACCTTCCCTAAATTTAGGAGTTTGGAGGAATCAAGTTAGACCACCAAATCTAGCACTCTAGCAGGGGAAACTGTGACTAAATTGGGGAGAAACTGGATACTGAGAATGGAAAATAATGTAGAGCTTCCTATCAACTACAAAAAAAAAAAATTCTGAATATGCTGCAGTCAGTATTTAAGAGGTCCTTCTGTTCTTCCTACCATTTTGAACCAAACAAGTCACAAAGTTGCATCTTTCTGTCTACCTGACATATCAGGTTTGGGCAAAGCTGGAGAATTAATGCTCCTTTTCCAATGTAAATGCTATATATCCGTAGCTGCTGAGAAATAGAATACTGAGAATAGAATGGAGGCCTGGGATCTATGTAATGGAAAAGAGGGTTCAGTGTATAAGGCCACATGCTAAGCATGGGAGAAAAAGCCTCAACTTTGACTTTTAGAAGGAAAAAGTAAAAAAAAAAGATTAGTGCCTATATCAGTAAAAAAAATAAAAATGGACTTATTGATTTCTATGGACTATAGCTTCAAGACTTGCATAATTACAGAAAATGCCTTCTCAGAAAATGCTGCAACCTTCAACAAACACAACAGGAGGAGAGTTGTTACAATGGATGGGAAAGCTTCAGGCGAGTCAAATTTTAAAATCCAAGAGAATTTGGGTGGAAAGGATGAGAGCTCCGTTGGGAAAGCAGAAGCCTCTAAGAGGAGCAAGTGTACAGATTCAACGTGCCTCCATCCAACCTGCTCCTTGCATAGCTAAGGCTACTGCAAAGGATGGCCCTTAACTTCCTCTAGTGTAGGATGCCAGGCTGCCAAGGTCCAAACCAGGGGAAGAATGGGCCAATACCAAAAACAAACAAAACGAACACAGAGTGCAGCGAAGTCTCTATAAACAAACTGGGGGGACGCTGGGTCTTGCGGGCGTAGCATTTGTCAAAGGCAAATGTTAGGTTGCAATGTCACTCAGCTGCAGGGTGCAGAGTACAGGAGGAAATTAGGTCTGCAAGAGTGCTGGTAGTCTCTGCCCTCTTCTTCTGCCTCTCTGCTTTACACATTGTCTTTCTCCCTGGCTTTTTTCTGCTGTACCTGCATTTGGCATGGTCGAATCCTGCTATTGTCCCAATTGACTCATCCATGCCTACTCAGGTTCAGCTCTTTTCATAGAGGCACTTTCAGCAGTCCAGTGGCTGTAAGGATAAAGGCACTAAGCAACTATCTAAAATCAATTGGTTGAGTCTCTTCAGCAAGTCCTAGGGGAATACAAAAGTCTCTAAGGTTCAAACAATGACTGCGAAAATAACTGGGCTGCAATTTGGATGCATATAATCGATAAGTTTCATTTTACATTCTAAGAATGCACCAAAAGGCATGCTTCTTCACCTTTTTTTCTGCTCTAGGAGATACAGAATATTTAGACATTGCTATATATAAACTGGACTTAATTTTCCATATAGCTTTCCCTTTAAGGGATGGGATATGTTACTTTCTATTAAGGCCCGGACAGCAGCCAACTCATTTCCCTGAGCAATGCAGGAAAACAACAAGTCTCTCTAGTATTCTCTTCCTGGCCTTCATCCTAACAAGCTTTTTTTTTTTTTGTATTTATTACTGAAACCATGCATTAATTAATGTTGAGTTACACCTTAGTCAAATAGGCCATAATGCTGAATATTTGAAACATGCTTTGATCTCCAAAAGTTATTGTTCCCATTTGACTAACATATGCACTTAAATACAGTACTTTTAAGTTACTAATCAGATACTTAACAAATAAAAAGGAGTGCACTTTGGTGAATGCAAATTGAAACAAAAAAGGGCCTATTTTAAAGAAGATCAATTCAAACAAAACCTTATCCCCTATCATCTGAGGTAATGTTCCAGGCATGCAGTTATAAAATAGATAGTATCAAAGTCAAACATGCTTATATTAAATTCTATTGTGCTATCTTGCAACAAAGGGGCTAAAAAGTTTTGCATCCATTTCTGAAGAAGGGAAAGAAGTATGTTGAAACCATCTGCACTTAAGAGACCTTAGCAGCATTGCAGATGTTCCATCTTCCCCCCGACACACAGAATAATTCTTCGATTTTAATAGTGTATACAGCAAAAAAAAAACAAAAAAAAACTGGCATATTTTCATAAGGTGCTGTGTGTGAATCTGTAGATCAGAACTACAAAACTTTTCACAAAGGAAGGAAATGTATATGTCGGTCAGTCTAAAGAATGACAAATACTTACTGCACATTACTGCTGAATATTATTTGGATGCATTTTCTTGGATGCACTGTGCAGTTTTGTAGAAACGTTTCCTTGAATCCATGCATATTTTAAGTATTTATTTTTTTAGAGTCCTCTTGAGCTGATTTTTAAAACGGTTGGAAACTTCAAAGTTATGGGGAAATGTCTAGGGCTAGAAGCATACAATTTCTATTTATAACTAGGCTAGTCCAAAGAGTTATAAGTAACCATTTCCACCACTTGGAAAATACCCTTTTAAAAGAAAACAAAAGGAAAAGTGAAATTCTTTCATGGATCCTGAAAGCTTATTGAATCGCTGAGCAAAAATTCGCAATGCAACAATGCATTTACGAGGTAAAGCATTCGAAGAGTAAAGCATCTACAAAGTGTGACTGCTGGTCACTTAAAGTCTTCAAGCTGCCAATGTTTCTCTTTTCTACATGTTTTTAAACATCAGTCAGCAGCTTGCTTTTATTAACACAGTTTTGGTTGGCTATGGTGTAGTTGCCAGTTCTGAGGTTAGCCTCTCTAAAATTGTCTATGCTATTATTCATATCCTCTTCAATTTCCATGTACTCAGATTTGCTGATTGTGGAGGAGCTACGGCGACTCAGATCACTGTCAGATGCTAAATTAGGAGAGCTAACTTTAAGTAACTGAGCCTGTTCTTCCCCTTCTGTTTCTCGGTGGTAGAAGTAGTTGAAGTTGGACACAATGACAGGTACAGGCAGGGCAATTGTCAGCACACCAGCAATGGCACACAAGGAGCCCACGATTTTGCCTCCAATTGTCACAGGGTACATGTCACCATATCCTACAGTGGTCATGGATACCACTGCCCACCAGAAAGCATCGGGGATGCTGTCGAAATAGGTGCCAGGTTCCTCAGCTTCAGCAAAATACACCGCACTGGAGAACAAAATCACCCCAATGAAGAGGAAAAAGATTAGTAACCCTAACTCCCTCATGCTCGCTTTGAGGGTTTGTCCCAAAATCTGGAGGCCCTTAGAATGTCTGGAGAGTTTGAAGATTCGAAAGACTCTTACCAGTCTGATGACTCTCAGGATAGCCAGAGAAGTGGCCTGCTCTCCCTTTTGAGGCCCCTCCTGCTCAGCCATCTCTGTACCCAGAGTGATGAAGTAGGGGATGATGGCTACTATGTCAATGAAGTTCATGATGTTCTTGAAGAACTCGGCTTTGCTGGGACAAGCAAAAAAGCGCACCACCAATTCAAAAGAAAACCATATGATGCACAGAGTCTCCACCACGAAGAAGGGATCAGTAAAGATATTGGACTTGTAATAGACTGTCGAGTTGTCGCTGCGGTTTCGGGGTCCCATATACTCCCTGTCCTCTTTCAACGCTGGCAAAGTTTCCAGGCAAAAGATCACTATAGAGATGAGGATCACCATGACGGAGACTATTGCAATGATCCGAGCTGGCCCAGAGCTCTCGGGGTATTCAAAGAGCAGCCACACTTGCCGCTGGTACTCCTTCTCAGGCAGGGGCCTCTCTTCCTCTTTGATGAAGCCTTCGTCTTCCCGGAACTTCTCCATGGCCTCCTCTCCCAGTTCATAAAACTTAATCTCCTCCGAGAACATGTCTAGAGGCACGTTAACAGGCCTGCGAAGCCGCCCTCCAGACTGGTAGTAATAGAGGATGGCATCAAAGCTGGGCCGGTTCCGATCAAAGAAATATTCGTTCCTCAGGGGGTCAAAGTATCGCATGCGTTTCTTGGGATTTCCCAGCAAAGTGTTGGGAAACTGAGCGAGGGTCTTCAGCTGCGTCTCAAATCTCAGGCCAGCAATGTTGATCACAACCCTCTCACAACATTCGTGGTCATCGTGGGCCCCAGGTCGATAACTGTCCTGGGGGTGACCTGGCAAAGCAGAGGTCTCGTCCATATTGTCCCCGGCCATCACCGTCATGGCAGCTACGGGGTGGGAAGGACAGACTCAATAGAAGACGTGATGGGATGCGGAAGGAGAAGAGTTCGGGATCAGAAGCCGCCAGAGCTGAAGGAGAGCGAAGAATTGAGGACTTCAGAGGAGACCGATACTGGATATAGATGCAGAATTACAGCATGGAGAGGGGCTAAGGAGAGGTGAGGCCCTTGGTGTGGACAGCTCCCAGAGCAGGAAAACAGGATGGAGAAAGGGGATTAGGGCTGGGAAGCGCAAGGATAAGGGAAGAGAGGTTGAATGGCATCCAGACTAGGCGGGGAAAGGACCTATAGGGCGCTGGTCATTGGGGAGGGTGGGAAGAAAAAAGGGAGAGAGGTTTTCCAGCTTCATCAAAGGACAAAGGGATGGCTGGGGTCTCTTAACACACATGCAACACAGCGAGACTGGGGTCCCTTCGGAGCAGTTTCCTTCTGTCTTTTAATGCAGTCCTTTTGTTTTTCTCCAGGATGTGACCATGCTGCTGCTGCTGCTGCTGCTGCTGTATTGCGGCTGCTGTCACACACTTCCCCTCAATAAAATAAATAAATAAGCACGGTGACTGGAAGGAGACTGCTTGAAATGCCGACTCAGCAAAATCCGCGGACTTCCCACTTTGCTCTGGAATGGCCCCTTCCTCTTTGTTTTTATTTTATGTTTTTAAGGAATAAAGCTCACTTCGAGGCAACTGGTAGATACTGTAAAGGGACAAGAAGCAGATGCATAAAAACACCTCTTTCTCCCCACCCCAAGACACAAATGCACAGCAATTCCCGGGCTGTGCAACATCATGCAACTCTTTCCAGGCTGCAGCCCAACCCTTAAAGCAGTCCTGTAACGTAAATTAACATACTTCCATGCACACATGAATTTCGAATGGGTGCCCTTCACGAAGTCCTGTGTTCCTGCTCGTCGTAACTTCTCAATCCCTACTTAACAAGACTTCCTTCGCTTCGCAGTTTTTGCCATACAGCCCACATCCGCCTGAACGATGTGCGAGCAAAAAAACCAAAAAAACCAGAGGGGTTGGAATACCACGATCTTTCTTAATAAGAACAGAATCCGGGGAGAAAAATCTCTCCAAATATTTATTGGCGCGGGGGGTGGAGGAAAGAGCGCGCGGGAAAGAAAAGGCTTTGCAACTAGTAACTGTGCCACCGCACACACTTCTTCGAGCAGCGCCCCCCACCCCGAAACCAACCCCGCGCTGCAAGGAGCAGGCAACTTGCCTCGGAGGAGCCTTCCTTACCTGCCGCGGGGAGGCCGGCGGGGGCCGTTGCAGCAGCAGCAGCAGCAGCAGCAGCGCAGGCGAGGAGCGAGCGAGCCCCGGCCGGAATGCGTCAAGGCGCTTCTTCGCCTTGCAGTTGCAGCAGCAGCAGCATCCAAGGCGCAGCGGCGCACACTCGCCGCCGCCGCCGCCTCCTCCTCCTGCTCCCTCTCGGGGAGAATCTACGGATCGCTTTACAGAGCCGCCTGCGAGATGGTGAAATATTCATACAGCGAAATATTCATTGGGCTGCAGCGAGAGGAGGCTGGCAGTTCAGGAGGAGGCATGGGCAGGCAGCGCATCGAGGGGGTGGGCGAGGGGAGGAGAGGGAGGAGCAGGAGGAGGAGGAAGAGGAGGAGGGACCGGGTGGTGGTGCGGGGGTCCCCTTCTTCTCTCCAAGCCCAGCGGGATCCGGGGGCCTCGGCAGCTGGCTGCCTCTGCTCGCTCGCCCGTCCCGGACGCGGCTCAGGCTGACACTGGCCAAGGCGCATTGCTGCTCCTGCGCGCGGGTCCCCCCGGAGCACCGAGGGAGGGAGGGGCGGGGGCAGCCGCCGCCGCCGCCGCAGGACACGCGGCACCTGGCAGGCCGGCAGGCCGGCAGGCGGCGGGGAAGGCGCGCAACGGCGGCGGCCACCTCCGGGCGCACAGACCTGGGCGCAAGGCGAGCGGCCGGGCAGCCAGGGCGTTGCGAGAGCCGTCTGGCGCGGGGTGGGTGGGGGGCGTCCTTTCCCCAGGCCCCGCCAGCCGGCCGAGACCTTTGGCCGCGGGCTGGGGAGGTTCCTTCGCGCCGCCTCCCCTCCGCGACCTTCGCGCGGATTCGGCATTGCGCACCGGAGAGGTCCCCCCCGCTCCCCGACGCAATGCAGGCAGCGCCGCCAGGCGCGTTGCGGCGCCGGACCCGAGGGCGCCCCCGCTCGAGGAGAAGCTACCGCCGCCGCCCATCTGCCCTGCGAAGCCAGGGGGAGCGCCTCGCACGCCACCCCCGGGGTGCAAGCCCGTCGCAAGGACCCGGGAGGGGGGCCCGGACGGCAAGGTCGGCGGCGGCCCCGTGTCGAGTTTGGGCGAAGGAGAGGTACCTGGGTGGGTGGGGGGCCGCTTCTCCCCCACCCCCAAAGGGGTAAGCGCCTGTTTCATCTGCGGACGTTTGCTGGAGACTTGTGGCGACCCCCCCCCCCAATACCGCAGTGCCCTGCTCGGGTGCATCTCCTGGAGCCGGGTGCCTAGGCGCGCAAGAGTCGCTCTCCGCCTTACACCTTCCCTTTTCTCGGGATCCAGAGACCCCCCACCCCACCCTGCGGCACTTGGGCCGCCCCGTCGAGCGCCCCGTTAGCCGCGCTGGTTCGAAAGGCGCCCGTCTGTTTGTGGGACTGTAGCTGGTCACAGCATATAGGTTAGTGGGACATTCCCGCGCTCTCCGGCCCGAGAGCGACGGTGGGGGCGCCGTCAGGCCCGCGGCTGCTTCGCCTGCCTTCTAGCCGCTCCCTTGGCTAGTGGTTTCACGAGGGCAGGGAAACCTGCAGAGAGTGCAGCAAATGCGCCTTCCCCCTCCCGCCGCAGCAGCAGCAGGCCCGGGCTGGCCAATGAAGAGGGATGCACCTGCAGAGCCGCTGAGCTGGTGCAATTCTCTGCGCCTCAACACCACCGCCGTCCCCCCCCCCCGCCTCCTCCACTCCGGCAAGGAGCTGCTGCAATGGAAGAGCCGCACAGGAGCGCATGCACTCCCGTCTGCTGCGGGGGCTCCGCACAGAGGCATTGCAGCTAGATCGGATTCTGCCACGTCAGCCAATAGCCGCCGCCAACCTGATCTCAACTTGGTGCTAGTCCGCGCCGTTCTCCTGAGCCGCCGACCACCTCGAATTGAGGTCATCGACTTCCAACCTCAGAGAGGCATTCTGAATCACGTGCTCGCTAATGGACTGCTTCCCTCCCTCAGGGACATGGCAATGGATTCAGTAGACTGGTGGATACTGGGGGGTGGGGGTGGGGATAGGTGGAGAATGACTTAATCCATAGCAGCAGCACATTTCAGGGGAAATTGCCTTTCTCATGCTGTCATATCATTTACTGAATTCATTGAGTCAATCGCATCACTTGGGTGGTACATGCGCTGGTTATCTCCCGCTTGGACTCCTGCAATGCGCTCTACATGGGGCTACCTTTGAAGGTGACCCGGAAACTACAACTAATCCAGAATGCGGCAGCCAGACTGGTGATTGGGGCCATATAACACCTGTCCTGAAAGATCTACTTTGGCTCCCAGTACATTTCTGAGCATAACTCAGAGTGTTGGTGCTGACCTTTAAAGCCCTAAAGGAGTACCTAGAAGAGCATCTCCACCCCCATCGTTCAGCCCGGACACCGAGGTGCAGGTCCAAGGGCCTTCTGGTGGTTCGCTCATTGCGAGAGCTGAGGTTACAGGGAACCAGGCAGAGGGCCATTCCAGTAGTCACACCTGCCCCAAGGAACACCCTCCCAGCAGATGTTAAACAGATAAACAGGCAACCGTGTTCAGGGAAGTTTTTAGTGTGTGATATTGTATTGTTTGTTTGTTGTTTTTGTTGGGAGCCACCCAGAGTGGCAGAGGCAACCCTGTCAGATGGGCAGCATATAAATAAATAAATTAGTAGTAGTAGTAGTAGTAAAAAGGTAAAGGGACCCCTGACCATTAGGTCCAGTCATGGCCGACTCTGGGGTTCCGGTTCTCATCTCGCTTTACTGGCCAAGGAAGCAAGCGTACAGCTTCCGGGTCATGTGGCCAGCATGAACTAAGCCGCTTCTGGTGAACCAGAGCAGCTCATGGAAACGCCGTTTACCTTCCCGCTGGAGCGGTACCTATTTATCTACTTGCACTGGTATGCTTTTGAACTGCTAGGTTGGCAAGAAGTCGTAGTAGTACACCTATATTATTTACTGCACCATGGTGACTTGCTCCCCAAGTAACCTCAAATGGAAGGCAGGTGGCAATTTCACAGGGTGACATCCATAAATCATCATTGTGGACTGCCAGTCTGGATTGAATCTAGGGGCCACTATGTTGTGGTTCCAGCCTTCCTGGAGGGTAGGACTCAAAAGATGCTGCCAGACTCTGCAGTTGGATTCCGTGGCTGTTACTTTATGGTGTACTGTGGGATGTGAAATGCAGAGCAGTCAAATACAACATTCCTAGAGTGGATATAAAAAGGGGATGTCTGGACCAGCCAGTCAGAACTTCCTGGGCTGGGACAGACTTCCTCTACATGTGACCAGAGGTGGGAGTGACCTCACCTGCACAGGTAACAAAACAGCACAGGGGAGGCAGCCATATCTCTCTCTGACTCCATTCCTCGAAGAAGCATCATCTCCTTAGCCTGAGATGCTTTCTTGGCTTCCAGCCAAGAGAGGACAAAGGAACTATCTCCTTATGGGATAGATTCCAGGTGTATATATTTTGTAACTTAAGTCTGCCTTCTGGGATCCATCTGTGAACAGAATGTGTGTGAGTAAACTCTCATACTTTTATACAAGACTGTGTCATGTCTAATCTTTTTATGAGGGAATAAAGGGGACTTACCAGGAAACTTATTTTACAGGCTTAAACAAGCCTGGCAAAGACATTATCCGCTGTACAAGTTTAAAGGGGGGAATGTTACTCTGCTAAATTGTAGAACTTGTTAACACAAGTTGGGAAGGATATAATTAAACAATATATCCTCTCCTGTCTCCTTGAACATTCCCACATGTACCACACCCATGGATTGGGGTTGTTGTTGTTTAGACATTTAGTCATGTCCGACTCTTCGTGACCCCATGGACCAGAGCACGCCAGGCACTTCTGTCTTCCACTGCCTCCCGCAGTTTGGTCAGACTCATGCTGGTAGCTTCGAGAACACTGTCCAACCAATTCAATAATTAATTCAACACATCTAATTCAATATATCGATGATTATGATACCTTGATTGACTGGCCAGCTAAACCAGATGAGAGTAGCCGATTGGTCTCAAACCCTCAGTGAGTTAGAGCCTGCATGCAGAAGACAGACACCAGCAGATTGAACGGATGAGACCAAGAGTGCATCCAAGAAGGTGGTTTCTGCACATGCTTATAGAGCGAAATGAGGGGCAGATGGGGCTCATCAACCTGGGAAGGTAGCTTACCTAGGAGAAGGGAAGCTCTGGTCCTAAACCTCTGCTGCCAAACAAAAGGCTAAGGATTAAACCCTACACAAATCTGGAGTGGAATCCCAAAGACAGTTGGATGGCATCTTGTACACCTCCTTCAAGTAACTCCTACAGCTAAGCTAGTGCCCAACATATTACTTTGCTTTCCTTTGGACCACATCAACAAGGCTGGGCAGCCCACGACCTCCATATACACTGCCCAGGCTTGCACCCCAGGGAAGTCACTTCAGTGCTGTTAATGCACTCCTGATATTCTTGCTTTCTCATTTGATGAACTGACAATAAATTTTAAGTCGGGAACAAAATCAGATGAGCTCAGAGCAAAGAAACATATGTTGATTGAGTGTGTTACATTTGTCATCAAAACAGATACTTGTTGTCCCCTTCAACAAATGAAAAGAAATAAATAAAAGGTGTTTTACATACCACATTTACTGTGACATTTATCGCAACACCACAGTGGTGCAACTTAAACAGCAAAAATGTGTTGTCATGTGTGGCATTTAAAACTCGTATTAGGACTCTGATATTTTCTTCCCTGGTATTTTAATCATGTTTAATCATGAGAAAGTTACACTGGAATATTTTTGACTGAGCCAGGGTCGGGGATTTAATTCCAATGGGAATTTATTTATTTATGCAATTATTTATTATTAAATTTCTATTCAACCCCTCATCTGAGGATCACAGGGCAGTTTACAGTATTAAAACACAAAAAATACATAACATAATAACAAACAAAACAATAACATAGTGTTCTTCTTTGGCAATCACTCATAGCAGAGTAAGATTGTCTTCCATGAATATGGCCTTAACAGTGAGTCCGTAAGTGAATATGGAGGCCAATTCCGGATCCACACATCCTTCCAAGTGGGGACATAGGTTTCCAGGAAGGAATTGATCACGGTGAGGATTTGCCAAACATGCCTTCCTCTTAGCTTGTTTCTCCCTTTCGTCCTGAGTTCATGTTTCTTCAAAGTCCATGACACCTTTGGTAGAGGCTCTTCTCCAATATAGCACTCGCAGGCCAGTGTTTCCCAGTTGTTCGTCAACATCAACTTCGTTGGACTAGTCATGTTGTTTGAATGGCTGATTATTGTCTTCCAAAGCAACTGCTCTATTTCCAACTTGAGAATGGAAAGCGTAATGCCGATGGACAGCAAAAAAGGTTTAAAGACGCTCTCAAGGCAACTAAAAAATAAATAAATAACATAGTGTATCTTGATTTCGTTAAGGCTTTTGACAAAATCCTACATGATACTCTTATGGAGAAGCTGGTAAAGTGTGGGCTGGGTGAGGTAACTGTTAGGTGGATTTGTAGCTAGTCATTCAAACCAAACCCAAAGAGTGCTCATTAACGGTTCCTCCTCATCCTCCAAAAATGGGGTGCCGCAGGGTTCTGTCCTGGACCTGTTGTCATTCAAAGTCTTTATAAAGGACTTGGATGCAGGAATTGATGGGATGCTCATCAAATCTGCAGATGACACCAAACCAGGAGGGGTAGTTAATACCACAGAAGGCAAAACCAGCATTGCATACGATCTTCACAGAGTGGAGAACAGGACCCAAGGTAACCAAATGAATTTCAATAGGGACAAATGTAAAGTTCTGCACTTAGGCAGGAAGAACCAGCACAATATAAGATGGGGGGGGCACCTGGTTTACCAATAGTACATGTGAAAGGGATCAAGGAGCCTTAAGAGACCATAAACTTAACATGTGTGATGCAGCAGCAAAAAAAAGAGCTAATGCTATTCTAAGGTGCATCAACTGAAGTATATTGTCCAGGTCAATGGAAGTATTAATAATTCTGCCTTGGTCAGACCACACCGGGAATCCTGTTTCCAGTTCTGGGCACCACAATTTAAGAAGGATGTTGACAAGCTGGAATGGGTGCAGAGAAGGGCAACCAAGATGATCAAGGGTCTAGAAGCCAAGCCTTATGAGGAACAGTTGAAGGAGCTGGGTATGTTTAGCCTGCAAAAGAAGAAACTGAGTAACTCCATGAGCATTTTAAGCCTGCCTGAACCAAGTTGCTGTATATCAAGCTTCCTCAAACTTGGCCCTCCAGATGTTTTTGGCCTACAACTCCCATGATCCATAGCTATAAGGACCAATGGTCAGGGATGATAGGAACTGTAGTCTCAAAACATCTGGCGGGCCAAGTTTGAGGAAGCCTGCTGTATATATTATTCTTCAAGACACATATGTGGTTATTATTTTAAAGGTGAGAACAGTGGATAATACCAGAAAAATCCAGCCTGCCTTAAAATATCCTGAGTTACTTAAACTAAAAAGGCTAAAACGATCCAATCTAAGCTTCCCTTTTAAGCTACAAAGGGATAGCACTCTGCTGAACTTAGAAATGTGAAGAAGGAAGGATAATATCTAATAGATATATCCTCTCCTAGCATCAAAGCAAATCCCAACATGGACGGGGTCATAAGGTACAGGAAATCTAGTCCCAAACCACTTAGGGCCTTAAGCATTGTGAATTGGGCACAGCAAGAAGAAGAAGAGTTTGGATTTGATATCCTGCTTTATCACTACCTGAAGGAGTCTCAAAGCGGCTAACATTCTCCTTTTCCTTCCTCCCCCACAACAAACACTCTGTGAGGTGAGTGAGGCTGAGAATTTCAAAGATGTGTGACTAGCCCAAGGTCACCCAGCAGCTGCATGTGGAGGAGTGGGGAAGTGAACCCGGTTCACCAGATTACGAGACTACCGCTCTTAACCACTGCACCACACTGGAATGTATTTGTAGCCAGTGCTGCAGGCACAAATGTGATGTTGCATGTTCAAACCTTTGTAGCCCTCATTTGCATCCTGGCAGCTACATTTTGCTACA